CTTTGCTTTAGACCGCCTTAATTTTTTAGCTTTATTTTAGGAATCCCTGGTCACATGGCATCAGTAAGCAGTTGTGCTAAATTGGGTTACTGAAGCGGACGAAATGAGTGAAGTACAGCACGTGGAGGTCAACGTTCGACGTGATGATGATATATGAAATACTTCAGTGCACGTACGCGTCACGTACATAACTGCATGGACAGCCTCGTAACGAGTAGTGCATGTGCCCAGTTTACTGGCGACTTCAAGTTCTGTTTGGGTCAAACCACAACCGACTGAATGAAATTATTGGCAAGTGAAATTCTTCTCTTGCGTTACGCTTCGCCATTGGGGAACCTATCTGTTGTTTCGTTGCACGTGTGACATGATTGAGTGTCATAAACAGTGACGCTCATGCATCTACTCTCTTTCTACAAACATTTACTTTATCTGCACTCTGTATCTTAACCCAGATACCGCTGTCAGTGACTTGGACTTCTTTCATCAACTCTTAAATCAATTAACGATTATATATGTAGCCTAAAGATAGTAACTAAAAACTGACAAGTGAAAGTGAAGCATTACTACATCAAACAACAAAAAAATTGCAAAAGGTGTACGGTGAAACACAAAAATTCTGTTATCTTGTATTTTCCATGTTTAACTGTCTCACCCACTTTTCACCATGTTCTGTATCCTAATCCCCTTCACTGTCATTGTTGTTGCGTTGGCACCATGCTTGTTTTCAAGCCGGTGGTAAATATATATATATTACTAATTACGTAAACCTAAACTGATACAAATGGTTTATGACGAATCGTACCATAGAATAGCTCAAATGTACCATTCACCAGGATTTCAATGAGGTTAACCGAGTTGTGCCAGAAAAATAAATCATCAGAAATTCGGCAAATTTGACATTATCATCATCATCAAGCGAATTTCTTACGGCGTTATTTTCAGAAATCGAGCACGATAATCTTGCCTGACCAAAATGACATACCTCGGGAATTAGGAAATTATGCACCAAATCTGCAGCAATCAGATCTGAGCGAATCTCGTCCCGGTTCACTTCCATATCACATGCCCTGGCATCTACACGTCGCGCGATTTCTTCCATCTCGTGTTGTGCGACACTGTCAGCCGTGGAATCGAGCGCGACACCGGCCACACTAACCAGATAACTTTCTACCGATTCTTGGTGTACTTTTACTATCTAGAATAGGTTGAAAAATGGGCAGTTGGTAGGTAGTGGGCAAGATGAGCACAATGTTCAGTGTATGAACCTTGGAGTCCATACACTGTACACAAACGGAATTTCAGGGGACGGTAGACTCAGCCTTATCTCAATCTCAGTGAATTTGTTCGTCGGGTGGTAAAACAAAAGAAAACGTGGTCAAATTGATATGGTATGATGAATAGATATCAAATTACTTTTACAAACTACAGCTCTGAGTCCTTTAAACCAGATGTGGTGCGTCTGACACTCATGACAAACTTTAAGTGAAAAGAAAACAGTCCGGTCCATGGACTTATTCATCGGCAAAGGAGGGGGGGGGGCATTGTGAACAAAATCCGACGATAGCAAATGAGATGCGTAATAGCATATCGAAGGGACAAGAATCACACTGGAGATAAGTAAAATCTATGGAAGGAATAGAACACGACAGAATGCGAGAAAATTCTCAACGTTTTAGGCAAAATGAGTAACTCAACAGGTAACTTGGAGTAAGGTTTTCTCAATTGCTGCAAATAATGGTGAAAGAAACGATTGGACCAATCTACGAAGAATAGGGGTTTCAAGAAAAGCTGAGGGTAACAGCGTTTGGAGTATGAAAGGAATGAGCTGTGTCTGAAATGAAATTAACCGAATGATCAGTCTGTGGACGAAAAGCAGGATACATCAAGCACAGCTTGTGAAAAAGCTGTTAAATTGCGTGTTCACATCCAAGTATAATCGAAATATATCCGATCCAGCTTGGATCATATAATAAAGAAACCTTTATTGAGGTAAAATAGTATTTATAAGCTCCTTTATTGACTGGAAAGTATGTAAAGAACGCAATAGCGGAGTTAAAAACATCTGTGGTTATTTTATCCTCCAATATTGTTTATAAATTTGAAACAAATCAACTGCAAAACCAAAATTGTAGATTTTCTGTCATACATTATTAAAGTACCAGTCAGATTTAATACTCCTATTGAATGTCAGTAGTATTTTGGTGCATGCACAATGAAACGGCCTCGGGACTTGGACGTCTCACAGTAGAATCAAAACAGCGAACTCTGTATGTAGCTGCGTATCACACCCAAAATGTTGAACTACTTCTGAACACTGATCCGCAGTTGGTTATGAAAACAATGCGACTAATTTGTTTCAAAATACTTGTTTGGTTCTGGGTGTTACCCATTCTTTTTAAAACAAGTACTCAATTTGCGAATTTGTAGCACTGCTGAAATATACTTAATAGTATCCGATTTTATAACACGGCAACAGACGATCCATAGTACCCGTTTCCACTAACTTTAGGGCACTGCACACAAATGAGTGTGACCTTGTTGATCTAAGAAAGTTGATGCACAAATTAGTGACCATGTGGTAGCGGATGTTTCGATCGACAAAACAATATTAGGCTCTTCCGAGTGACGTTAATTCACCATGCCTTCCAACGGCAAACTGACACCCGAATGGAATCAATCAAGTAAAGTCAAAATCAAATTTGAAATCCAACCGACGGGAAATATTTTTGCCTATTTTGGAACAGATAAGCAATACCTTCAGAAATGGTGTTCACATGAAAATATGCACAGCATTCACTCAGTATAATATCGGTAAACTGACTTGTTTAAAGATTTCATCCTGTTCCCGACGTCTACGTTCCTCTCGCTGTCTGTTTCCACTCTCCTCCGCCTCACGCATACGTCGATGACGCTCAGCCAAGAGGACCAAAGCGTGAATGCGACGCTCCTCGATCAGACGATCCAATTCTTTGCTGAGAAAATCGAGCATATCCGCTAAACTTGCGCATTCTATCTGACCCAAAATATTATCCATTTCGTTCTCCTAACATAGTGCAGAGTTGATTCGGTGGGAAGATGGGGGGGGGGGAGTGTTGCGTTGGAAATAATAATAATGAAAAAGATAGAATCAGAATTGTGATTGAATAAAGTTCATGACGATGATTTATTTGCTCATTGGGTTACGTAATTGCAGCAGTTGTGCATACAAACAGATGGAGCACATCACATCGTTCAAGGTGTGACATGGAAAAAGTGGCGATTACAACCTCACCGAATCTGTCCATGGTCTAAGAGCCGACTAACTCCCTTCAGGTATCATGATTAACTATTTCTTTAATCATTAAGATTAATCCCATCGGATAACTTTGCAGACGTTCAAAGTTAAATTCAGAGTTTTTTTTATGGGAATTACTGATAAGCCCAAGTTTATCTTGTCTCCATACGATTCTTACGCAATTGTCTCGGCCAAAAATTGAGAAATTTCTCATATAGCTTCGGGTATGGAGGTAGCACCTAATGTAGCCTTCAACTGTTTTACGTTTTGAGTTGTGTAGTAATGTGAGGTGTGCCAGAGTTTCATCAAGTCTCCGCTTGAAAGATTTAACAGTTGGGGCACAAACAACGTGAGATGGGAGTGTGTTCCAAGTGCTACACACTTTGATGGCATATGGATGACGCTGTAGTTCCAGTCGACACTTTCGGATCATTAACTTGAATTGATATCTCTTGAGGTGGATGTTGGGCGACGACGTGAGCAGCGAACGACGTGGGTGGTTTCTGTTCTCTTATATGCTCGTACATATGTGTGTGTATATATGTATGTGAATGTCCCAACGACGCAGTTGCAATCATAACTGACAGAATGAATTTGCGAACACATGCTCCCTTATGGGCATGGTGGGATGGTGGAACTTTCTGGGTTGATGATTGAATTGCATTGAGTCGCAAAGGGTTCGTATACCCGTCTGTGCATACACGCTCGCAATTTCCTTCAGCTTCTTTGTACTATCCATACTACAACCATGAACAGAAGTTTTTGGATAATCTGATTTATTGGGTGAGTATCGGGTGAGTTTAAGACAAACTGTACATGAGGTTGTGGTATTGGTCAGTAGAATTTTGTATACTGTAGACTTTTGAATTAAGTGGTAGGGTCTATTCACCATTGACGCACATCCGCACTCCTACACTTATTCATGAGTTCCTTTGACCGCGATTATCTCTCACCTCGGTCTAGAGATCATGTTCGGATCCAATCAGTAATGCAGAACCTTCTTGCATTATTATCACTATCATCTTACAAAGCTCAGGAAGTGATTGACCGGTGGTAAAGATCACCAAATTATCACCCCGGACGACGTGTAATCACAATCCACCGCTGCTGTCCGACTTCCCCGTTATGTGTGTTGTATGGCAGCCGTTTGATTGGCCGCTTGCCCTTTCCTGAAAACTGTACAGTTTTATATTCAATGAAAGGAGGTAAAATGAAAAAGAAAGGCATATAAAAGTAGCTGATTCATGCGCTGTGATGCAAACTACACATATCTAATGCACTGTATTAGAAGTGAAGTTTTATTTGAGCACTGCTTCAAACATTTTTACTACATGTACCAGTGTGATGAATAGTAGAGATTAGAGGTTTAGTTCGGCTGTGTAGATCAGTAAACCAAACTCTATAACTGGAAGTGAAGAACCAAATAAACTTCCACTATGATAGACATGTATGATAAGAATCTCAACGGCTGTTCATCAAAAACCACCAACACCAACACCACCGAGTTTGTCAAATTTGTATGACAAAAACGATCTCAACAACTTACCCGATGAATAATCTCAGATTGCTTGAGTTGTGTACTCTGGATGACCCGTTTCTGTCGTTTTTTCTCGGCAATCTCGTCTTCCAGTAACGCGTGTGTTGACCGAAGTTCGGCAATCAGTTCTTTGCGTTTCTCCTTGCCTTCAAACATCTGAGTCTGAATAGCCCGGCCCCGAAGCAGTTGTTGCAAAACCACTGCAGCCAAATCTCGTTCGATCATACTTTCCTGAATACGGTGAAATATATAGTTGAACTGTCGATTAGAACGCATGCAGATATACAAAATAAATAGCTCCCTGATAACTTTGTCTTGGAGTTTCAAAGCAATTAGTGACAAATGAATTGAAGAAAAACGGTCTCATTGTTCTATGGAGTAATTGATCTACAATTACAGTCGATTCTCTGTATACAACAAATTAGGTCTATGTGTAATAAAGTTGTTATTAAAAACCAGCGAGGCATACTCAACCATTTTAAGATCTCATATCTCGTCCGCAGTGAAATCATGTCAGTATATGAAGGCCTTTGCGGTGCCAAATGTGATCACTCAGATCTTGGTCTAGCACGGCAATGTTGAAATATTTATTTAGTTAAACAATGACGGTCCCAACACTGAACGAGGCTGCAGAGAGGATGTCTCACATTGTCGTCTGTGAATATGGTGCTGTGTTTGGGGAGATTGACATGTTCAATTGTATTTTGAATTCAAAAAATAATCGACGTTATTGGTTTCCAAAACAGCGATCAGTATGGAAGGCGATGGGCAGGCATGCGTAGTTCACACATACAACACACAAACACATACACACGTCATCGAAAACAAGCCGGATAAATGTCTGCACCCAAGAAATTCACTGTATACGTTTTAATTATTTAGTTCAACTTCCCTTCCTTTTTTATCAGTCGCATTGCACGGATCTGATGGGGAAAACGGACAACGAATGCCGAGATTAGGCGCAGATCTTTAGGTAATCGCGGTCGTCCACTGGAGCAAGTGGTCGACCTCCATAGATTACGTTGTTTGAGGCGTGTGTTACGCATATCACCAAATAGATTGCCACAGCGTAGATCGTTTGTCGAGGCAGGTGATAGGTGGATCAACGTTGAGGATGGCCAAACTAAAAGCTGGCACGAGAGTATAAAACCCCTAATCAAGAGACTTGGTCATATAGGTCGCGTTTCACTTCCCGGATAAAGCCCTCGAGATAGTTGTGGTCAATGGTTAGAGAACCTGCGTGATGTGGCTGTAACTTTCGTGCATCTTCTCGATTTCTTTACAACATTAGTCCATCCACTTTCTCTTCGACTCTACTTTCAGATTTCCGATCTTTCTCCCACTGATTCATCCAAAGGGACAGCCAACAAACCGGTGTCATATATCCTTTTACCTGAAAGTTACTTGTGAGCAGTGAAATGGGATAAATTATACTGATCTGGACTGACAATCTTTCATGTATGCGTACAGATGAAGTGTGAATTGTGGTCAATCAGTCATACCAATAGTCTTGACTGCCATCTGGTTGATTCGCACCGGATTCGGATGTTTCGTTCCAGTTGAATAATGGTACTTACGTATGCGATCAAAATGAAGGAGTTCTGTAATGAATATGCACCATCATCTGTCTGTTGGTGTACATTGCCAACCACATTGCCCCATTGTAGTGAGAAATCAAGCGGCATCAATATCGGGGCATGAGAAGGTTCACGGTATTCTGCATTATCTCCTCCGGAGACACATGCATATATGTATTCACACACTACATACTATACAATATTCTATAAAGACTATCAAGTCACGTTTGTTGCGGTTGGTAGCATCTAACCCACCTGCAAAACATTGAATCAGAGCATTGATTCTTCAATGGACTGGCTCTAAAGGAGCTGTTTATTCAAAAGTCACCCGGTGTTGCAAACAGGATTATTGTGACGAAAATAAACATCCTGGATACAAGTATATGAATGAACTGACAAAAGATTACCGGATACGTATGCCTGACGAGCGATAAGAACCGAAAAACTGGTCATATGCTTCCAGGGAAATTTTATCCGGTCGTTCACATACTACTGATATATAATCGATTTACGAACAAATACGGTGTTAAAGCAATAACAACAATAGCAGAAAAATGAAGGCTTGGGGTACAAAAGGGAGCAAGATGGAGTCAAACCGTTATAGAGGATAAAAAGAATACAATTTTTTTGGTTTCACCGTACACATTTTTAAATATTCTTATCGTTTTCATGGGACCACATCTCTGACCGGACAATGTGGTAGTTAGAACAGTTTGCTCATCGCAATCCTTGAAAGGCGTTGCTTTGTGAAGACAGCTCATCTAAAAAATCCCTCGGCATTAAATCGAGGTGAACTGTTTGCAGTCGGCCTCAGGTACTGGTCAGAAATGTGGTCTAAGGCTTCCCGGTTGAGGACCATGGAAATAGTTTAATCAATGGCTTAGTTTTGTAAACGTTGACACTTGTTCACTTATTTGTAGACACACACACAAACTCTTAGTCTAAACTAAATTAAAAGCACTCTGAACAGCTGCTCGGTAATTATATGCGTAGTATGCTTGTGTTCTCCCTCTGAGGTCCCGAGTTTGCAGTGAACGTTTAGGTGCATGAATCTAAACCGATGACAAGACAATCAAGTCCAGACAGTTACACAGTACTTTCTACCTTTTCAGCTCAAGATTCATTTATACGAGGAATTCATCATATGAACCTTTTAAACACTGTCAAAAGTAACGGCTATATCGAATGAAGCCGTTAACATAAATATACACCGTGCGATTGCTTTATCGTCTCACATTGTACTATCCCTCTCTCTCTTTCGCGCCCAAGGCCAGATACCCCTCTAATCCTCGCTTGTGATCTGAGATTCTCATGGTTCGCATAAAATCGCAATCGCTCAGCCTGACACGAGATAGTCTGGTCACCGGTTTGTAACGGTTGTGATGCTCACACAAGTCAATCATTTGGATTACCAAGTGGGAACTGAAGCATAACATCAATATTATTGGTGCAAATTAAAACAGTAGACTTGCTTCAGACTTGAAAATTCACTCCTGCCTCAAAAACGTCAGTCAAGAGACAGCAACCCAAATCGGTGCAGGAAAGTGCATGGTTGGTAGCTGTAAAAACTGATGGTGAAACAGATATTTTGCTATACGACCTATGCGTCAGTTAAGGAATTTTTGATACGTTTATTGTGAAAACCACGACTAAGTTCAACCAGTGTGTCTATGTGTTACGAGGGCTAGTGAAATAAATCGAACAATAACCATAGAACCCAGAGTCTAAAAATGACAAAGTTCGAATGCTTGATGCATCAGCTCTCAAACTCAAACAGTTTCACTGACCTCTGACGGCGGAGCCACGCTGGGTGTAATCGGACGGGGCGGTGGACGTTGAATCTTTTCCAAAAATCTCGGTTTTCGTCCCGGACCTTGTTGTGGATTAAAAGCACCCTCAAGAAACTGTAAAGGAAGATATAAATTTCGAGGCACTTAGGATATTGGTAGCTGAAAAAAACTGAATACTTCAATACGTCTAACTCAATACTAATTTATTATTATGAAACTAACTCTGGGGTTGAACCCTTCGATGACGATTCGTGAAAAAGAGAAAACAGCTGTCAGTTGTTTTTAAATCATATCAGCAACGGGAGGCTATACAGAACCTGTGTGGTCAACTCACTTTGTGAGGGAAAACGGACTATATTGATGTCAAGCGGATTTTTTACAGGCACCGTGACAAACCAGATCATTCACTTTTCGTAAAATCTTCTGAATCACAGGAATTTGCAATAGCGCTGATAGAAAAACGGGTTGTTGCATGATCGACATGCACGACTTCCGTTGATCACTACCAGCGAAGTGTTTGTAAACTTGACACGATTTTATGCAATCCTTGACCCGGGGGGGGGATCACAATTGGTTTCTCGGCTGAACAATTCAAGACATGCCTTATTTATGGCTGGACATGCTGCGCGATGCATACGTGTTGTGCTCAGGCATCTACTAAAAATCTATGCAAATTTCCCTCGGCAGTGCTGTGCTCTTATGTTGCTTTTTTATTCCTTTCTCCACTTACAGATTACATAAACAAAATGTGGTTGGAACATTTTGGAGGTTATCAGGTAAAAACTTGATCTTGTTCGCGCATTTTTATCACACATGATTGAACTATACAAATTTTAATGTTAATGCTCCTAGCGCGAGGATTGAATAAGCTTCGGGGTTAAATTAGTTTTCAAGCTGAACTTGCAAGGAGACACCGGTAAGCACTGTAGCAACCGTAGTAGTAGTAGTGTTGTGAGATACTACTCACTTGTACTACGCAAAAAGATGCGATCAGCGGTTTCTTTCAACGACCACAAATGAACAAGACCTGTTGGAACTAACTGCAGATGTTGGGTATGGTTAATACAAGAATGCTTATCTAATAGTGAATCGTTCCATCAACTATCCTCGATCAGAACCGCCTTCTGGAACTATAACAATAGTAGTAGGTTGGATGTTAAAAGAAAAGTAATCGTAATTTCAGGGGTGGTCTCTATCAAGAAGAGATAAAAGTTCGCCAACAGGAATGTATATTTACGTCAACTTATTATTCTGAAAGGCGAGGGGCGGCGGGGGGGGTGAGGTGGTTCCGGAGAATAGTGGAGCTTTTGCTGAGACATGGTCAATTGGGGGGGGGGGAC